ATATTAAAGTAACATGTAGGTCTCATAATACACTTGAATAATGGCAATGTTGAAATCCTTGAAAAACGGATAAAACCTTTACCCAACAGTGTTCTGCCCAGACTCCAAGCCAAGCATCGCGGCTAATTTACATAACAATACATCTTATTTGCATAATAATTAGTTACCCCAAAAACATTATAACTGCAATAAAGAAGAGTAGTTTTATACATATCTCATATTTTTTATATCATTTAAATTCATTGTATTGAATGCGTGCATCAAGTCAAATAAAGTTTGAAATAGAACAGGAAATAAATGGAAATACTTATAGCCAGTCAGTGAATATATTGTTATCCATGGAGGTAACTGGTTCATCATTATTTTGTGTACAACAAGTACAGTCAGGTTTAGTGCCAATGTTACTGTCAGTTCATATGACATAGGGGAAAAACATTTTTTTGTTAAATTTGTAAAGTCTGCAAGATTGCGAGTTATCAAAATATGAAGAAATTAATAAATCAATAATGATATTTTTTTTTCTACAACGGCATTTCAAAACTAAAGTCAGTGATTTTTCATTGATCTCTCTATACCTTATGCGTAACGCTATGACCATCGTAACATTGTCAGCTGACAGCATTGCGTTGAACAGGTATTCACCGCTGCTGTTGCGATCATCTTTTGTGTTTAAAAATACACAAACTTAGAATGTTTGGTTAATTAAAACGATTCATTGACGATTATCTTAGAAATTACATCAAAATCGCCAACGAAATGTTGTTTTTAAACGTCGCGGAAAAACATGCACTCTGCGCTGCAACCTTTGTTACCTCAATCAAAATCTCCATTGTAACCCAGCATGCATCGGTTGTGATATCACTACATGCGTTATGTCGCCTTAGGGTGGCGTTCCTCGGTATTGAGGCACTCTATGAATTAGATATTTCTAGTGGTCTCATCTGCAGTTGAATAATTTTTGCTTCGATTTATTTACAGTTTTCTTTCCAATGCGACTTAATTTCACTTGTTTTTTTAATTCTTGGTAATTAGTGTCACTGGCGATAGAGTAGTAAAAAACGCAATTAACCGCAGTGCAGCGACTTGGGATAGACCATACCGACGCAATGAGCAAATTATTACTACCCTAGTATTTTGGGTTTGCCAGTTCCACACCCTTGATAGACTTGGTAACTTCTTTTAGACTTCTGTTTTTATCACTGTTTTTGTAAGGCTAACCATGTACAAAGGCGGGATTACCTTTCAATCAATACATGTTATTGTTTTAAAGATATGCAAGACGAGGCTGACACTTGTAAACAATACAAAATGAATAAGCACCGCGGACAAGATTTCAAGGATCGCGGACGAAACGAAAGCGACGCGGCTGTTTGTCTAAGTGACGTGGGTCTGCGATGCTTGTAAGGCCTGGGGAGAACACAGCCCAAAATTGTTTAACAGTTGAAAACACTATGATCAGTAATTAATTAAATTAGAAAAAGCTGTATCCATGAACACTGGATACTCACTTTAGGATTCACATCCACCATATTTCTTGAATCATGCATGTATAGTTGACAGTTTACAAGTCATAAGTGCAGCACAAATCATAGTAACTTTCAGAAAGCAGAAAAAAAAATATATTGATAAGATTGATTGATAAATTGAAGAACATTTGCACATACTGGTTCTCATAAAATCAATTTTTAAAACGCAGCTTCTAGTAATCAATACTTCCAAAATAACGCATTAATTTTCTTGAAAATGAAAAATCACCCAGCTGTTTATTCAGCTTTAGGTAACAACTAACAAAAGCTGAGCTACATTTGTATCAAAAAAGAATAAGTTTTTAATTAGTTATTGCTCAGCCTAAAAATGTTTTTGCCAATAACGTTTATATTTTTATTTCAGGAGTGTTGATGTTGTATAGGACAATAGTGATCAGTTATAATTGTAATTAATTAGTATAAATTATCTATTAACTATTAAATGACTGTCCTAGCAATATAGAAACAGAAGATGTTCAAACCTAACTGTCTGTTAAAAAATGAAAATACAATGTAATGATAATGTTATGTATAGGGCTTAAACTAATATTAGGCCACATAAAATAAATCCTGCGTTTCTTATATTTCTACCAATATTTTTGAAATTGTACATTTTCATACATACAGTTCAATTATAATTATGTTCTAGCAATAACCAAAAAGTTAAGCTTAATGGGATAAAAAAAAAAAATTTTTAAAATATACTGCTTACCAATCTGGCCAGCATTTTTTTTATCTTGTTACCAGAATGTGTTTTATTTGGTTTTAGTTGGGTCTATTTACACATAAAAACCAATGAATAATTATATGCAAAATTAACAATAGAATTAATTGTTTCCTTCATAAACCAGTGATTAAACCAGTAAAAACTCGTCAACATCCTCACAACATCAAATCCAATAAAAATATATTTAATAAATGAACCACATCCATAGTTTTGTGGACAAAATTAGTCTGCATTCAATCAGTGTTTGTCAAAAATCTTTTACGTATGAACACTGAACATTTACACAAAAATTCTTGAACACTTTTCTAGGGTATTTGAAACCAAAATTATCGCTCAACGCAAGGATGCCAAATCAGCTAGTCTTACAGTAGGTACACATGTAGGTGTTTGTAAGCGAGGATTTTCCACAGAAAAATGACAAGTAAGGTCAAATTGTATTAACAGTTAGCTTAATATTACCCAACAGATTATTTGGCTGTGAAAGTTTGTTATTTTTTTCCTAATTTGTTGGAATTAATAAAACCTGTTTCTAAATTTGTCTATCTTTAGTTTCAAGATGACTTGCCTTTATTAGTAAATATCGGTAGATTATTCACATTTATTTGATTATCTGTGTACAAGATATTTTGAAGTTGTACTCAATTAAAAATAATTTTAATGAAATAATTTTTTTCAAAACAGTATGACATACATGTACCTTGTACTGCAGGAGATAAAATAATGAATAAAGCTGTCTGCCAAAATGTCCAAGACAGGCAGATTGGCATAGGTGGTTGCAAAAATAAGGAAATAGTGACTTCAACTTTTAGTGATTTCAAGTTTTCACTTGCCTTGGGGAATTAAGATTATCACAGTTTATAAATGTTATATAGCTTTATGTTGGACAGTTTTCAAAAGTTTATAAACAAATATTTTAAATTTTTTCAACAATTTTATTTTGACTAAAACAGGCAATTTTAATTCCTCAATGGGCAGGCAACTTGTTCTCTAGGTATATTATAGTTATGAAACCAATTAAACTAATAGATATGTGACAGTTTTTTACAGACCACAGGGAATTGTACACATCACTATTATACTTAGTACATGCCACTTTATAATGCAGGTTAAATGATTACTAGCACAGACAGTGTACTGTTAACATCAGAATAAATGGAAGCCTGTTACCATGGCTACCACCCAGCTCAGAGTTAGTGTCACAAAAATGTACTCCTCAACTATCTAATGCCGCATACCTAAATGCATAGAAAACGCATTTAAGGATTTTGTTTACTGAACAAGTGTCAGTTAAAGTCAGTTGTAACTGTTTGCTTGTACAGATACTTTAGGGATTATATGTTTATTTCAAACTCGTATATTATCACCTCTCATTAAACTTTTAGGCATGCTGGAACAAGCCCTACGAGGAGCAACTGTCAATGCCTATTGGCAAAGTTTCAAGGTGGGAATTTCAAAGTTTCGCAGCTATGGTCAAGCTCCATCAAAATTCTGAATAGGCAGTGATTAGAATCCTTCCAAGTTTTAGAGTACCAATATAAAATCGTTGAGGTATTTAGTGTGAAAAGGACAATAGCCTATTGTCTGGTAGTCTAATCTTGTCTTAAATCCTCGCTGATCAAGGACTAATATTAAACATGGCTTTAAAACCTGCATTCAGTATAAGTTGCTCTTTAGTATTTTTAAAGTTGCTTAAATTGGATATAAATGAAAATTACCCAAAGACATATACAACAAGATTAGCATCTTAGCAGTATGGCCTTCTACAAAGAAAACTCAAATAATTGTCCTTAGTTACATACATGCATGTATTGTCAGGAAAAAAATTTAGTTTTCAGTGAATAGAAAACATTTCCAACTGTTAATTGAAATTCATTGTAAAGCTACACTTGGCTGTTGACGAAAAAAGGAAAGTCTGAACCGTAATAAATAGCTGTACCTTACTACAATGCAGATATTTAAGGAGAACTATTGCTATATGGCATGTCAAACAGTAGTCTTTACCATGTTTACCTGTGACAAACATTCCAATACAACTACCAGTCAAACTGAACAGAGCTAAATTCTATACTAGGTGAAAAACAAATAAACTCCATTTTGTTTGTTACAAGTAATAACGTTTCTTCACAAACACAGAAGCCTTCTTAAATAAATCAAATGTCTAGCAATAGTTTATTAAAATTTGCTAATAGCATTTTCAGATTTTTTATTTTGCCATTATCCATATCAGAGGTTTCATTACTAATTTTCGCAGCCAACTGATTCTTATTTACATTAAGTTTTGTGATTCATTATAATTCCATTTTTTCAAGCCTAAGCCAGCCATGACACTCTACCAGGAGGCAAAAGCAGCCTGTTGGGAGTTTTAAACAAAATTATTATCATACGTTTTAGTTATACAGCACAAAATTCAAAATGGATACAACTTGAATATACGTTAGTTTTTTGTCAATAAATCAAGCTTAAAGACTTTTAGGATGATTTATTTGGAGATCAAAATGCCAATTTAGTTAAAATTTATTAGATGTTGAAATAACAATGAGTTCAGTTTGTGTCCAGGGAGACTGAAGTGTTACTTGTTCATTATAGATTAGTAATGGATAAAAGTCAACCACACTATAAGTATCACTAAGGGTGAAATAACCACCTGTACACACCAGGGAACAGAGGGCAAAGAATACTTTAACTGTAATTCTTGTTTGGGAATCAGGGTGTAGTCAGTGAGAAAAAAATAATCAGGACCCACTCACTAATGTTGTACTACTTCGTTAAACTTTGGATCTTCTGAGCACAGTAATGTGAGTGATTTGAAAAGTTGTACTGATAAAATCTCCTGAAAATAGAATTATTGAGAGTGACAATTAGAACTTCTGGGTCTTGAGTTGGGCGAGTGATATAGGCAAGCGCAGTGATCAGATAATAAGGTCTGGCACAGTAATAAATGGGAATAAAGTAAAAAAAATAATTCAAGTTTTACGAATTCTCTATTTAAAATCATAGTATCAAGGAGTGTACAATCAAAACAATCAAGTCATTTCTTTTTAGCAAAACTATTATTTTATAGGACAATGTAAATGTGCCAAAAATATGATGAAAAAGTTTGACAAGATCCTTTGAATATAAATTGTAATCACCTAGTAGTATGAACATAAACTAACATTATTGGAAAACAGACTTATCCTTTAATTTTGAACTTCTGCATTACAACTACGACGATCTTGGCAGCAGATAGTTGCCAAAACAGAACAATTACGAAAGGTGGAATAAGTTTTTACATGAACTATTTTCAGTTGTTGGGTAAACAATGCAATTGTTAACGCCAGCAATCTGAACAATGATCTGTGCCCTCCAGTGCTGCTTTATTGTACAGTGCTTTATTCATACCTATTTAAAATCATCCATCTGCGATAAATCTTATGTCCCACTGGGATATTTAATTGAGGGAAGATACAGACCTACTCTTTGCTAGAAATAACAGATATAATTATTTAAGGTACTATGTCTCTGAATCATTTAAATGTGCCCTGCCCTGGGTTAGAAAAAAAATACCACAATGATCAGCTCTGAGAGGGGAAAAATTATCTAGAAAGTCAATAAATATTTGTACTTTGACTGCTGCAATTTACTAGTTTTTCAATTTTGATGTAATATTGAAAATTTCTAAATTTTTTGTGGCACCAGTTAAAAATGTTATTACTAAAGATAAACATTACCCAAAAGTTAAACGAATTATCATTTCATCACGATCTACAGACAATTTATCGATTTTCTTGAACCGGGTGCACTTCCTGTGATAGCAGCGATGACGTGCGGTTCAATACAAATCATCCACGTATAAATTCTGATAAAAATGAATATAAGAATGTAAATCATTCTTGTATTTCACCTTTCGTCGATCACAAAAGTGTAAATCTCCGGACAGAAAGATGTGGCGAGATGATCAAGAACATGGAACACTATTGTATCATTTCCGGTCATCATCGGCTGCTGCATTTTTGTTGAAAAGTTGAAATAATGTTAGTGACAGAATTGTCATTTCACACTTTTTATGAGATAATACACCCAACTTATATTACCATCACTTGTTATGTTTTAAAAGATCAAGACATAAGTGATAAAACTATTTTTTGGTCAGTTGGAAGCGAGTTCTCAGAGCTGTCGACGATCGCTCTGCCGACTGCGCGAAGATTTTCAACTTGGATGATAAACATAAAACACTTACTAGGATTTTTTCGCTAGACTTGCATCTGAAGTGACACTCTGGTATCCAAGGACGGCAATATTCACATAAATTGTCAGCTCCGCATGAAATTTCGTAAAAACACCAAGATTGGATTCTCACTCCCTCCGCTTGTTTAGAAGCTCTCGTGACAGCTGAGCGAGTGAATGTAATCTCAAAATTCCCGCTCAACTAATTCAGCAAACTGGTCATCTTACGGTTAACTCCTCGTAAATCCAGTTCAATAGGTCATAAAGCATGACAACGAACAATTCACACTACAAGATTGGGGTATAGCAGCGAGAGACGCCAAAAACTGATTAAAGGGCAATAAATTAGTCCACGTACAGCGTGCAGTGAATGAACGGCGGAATGAGAATAGCTTCCAAGTGGCAGCAGGGTTATTTGCATAATTATGCAAATTAAGTCGTTGGTCTTTGCCTGAGTAAAAAACAACTGAGCATCGGACCCGGACCACAGATAACCACCACAACTGTGGATAGCTCACACCTGTTTTTTAGAGTACTATCTATTGAACTTGAAATGCCACAATTTTTGTTTCATTCACAGAGCCACTGATCAACAGAAACTTGAATGCTTTAAACCACGGAAACTGCAACAACGCCCGCCCTCATACGTTGAAAATGAAGTGATAATCGGATTTGTTTTTTTTTTCTGCAAATCATTTTAAAAACAATCAGTGACGAAAAGGCGGAGGTTAATGAGACAAACCATTTTACCCAAAGGAGTGGTAAATGTGATCTCATTTATGCCGAACAAACCTGGAATGTTCGTATAAAAACAAGATTTGGATGGTAACAGTTCGAAAATTTACGAAATATATCTATAACTAAATCCTGTAATAAGCTGGAGCAGCCTGGCACCCCGGTCTGGCAACCCAGTGTGGCACCCATTTGAGTTCAAGAAGTTAAAGTTTCACTGAACACGCGTTGTGTGTACAGTCATCAATGTTGTGAAAAGCATTTACGTGTGTGGAATAATACGGGGAATTTTGTTTTAACAAAATAAAAAGGTGTTTAGAGCGACCACCGTTGTCTTTAATCAGCTTCGGAAATTTTGCGTATTCCATATACTCTGCCGTTGAGGAAATTACACCAGTTGACACGAGATCATTCTTTAGTGTAACAGGAAATATGTTTGTTTAGCTCAGAAACGGCCCTTATTAGGGCCACCATATCCTCCAGAAAGAGATATACCGTGTTTTAACGAGTGTAATGTTTTGATTTTGCTGTGGATCCGTTGCTCTTTTTGTGTTGGCGTTTAGTCTTTGTGGTGGTTTTTTAGTTGGTGTTATCAAATTTGTTATTTTCAGACATTAAGATTTTTATCGACACAGAAGAGCTATGCCCATTCTCCCCTATAAACCCCCTATAACACAAATGTGCGTCACCAATACAACATTTACCGTCACCTATTTATATTACCACAGTCCCTCAACACCGGTGTTGAGGGACTGTGCCAACACATAACCGTTTACAAACCCTGTCGCCGACACTGGAACACGTTTCGATCTGACTAATTTCACGCAATTGTGATGTTTGTTGTATTAGTTTATGGATATGTAACAGCCGAAAATGTCAGGGATTTACTTGAAAAGCAACAGAGCAAAATGTTAAATTCTTTGTCTCTCAGCCTATGCTTGGGCATGGAATTTAAGCTAAGCTGAAACATAAAACACCCAAACTATAAAATCTTTCATTCAACTGAAATACTTGTGAATATCAGTATGTCGTTTGCATCATGTGCGTGGAAGATTATACGGAAAGCGATTTATAGTGGCTGGCCACTCGACATTTTGGAATTTGTGTGCAGTTAATTAGAGAATACCCATGATGCTCTGCTACACTATCCTGTGTCCATTTCGCCTCGTCTAATGATTTAAACTCCAATAATATGGTGTATTGTACACGCTATTTCCCTATTATGGAGACTATAATGCGAATATTTTTTTCAATGTAGAATATATGTGAACATATTCCCCCACTATTACAGCCAAAACAAAGTCAGCTTGGACATTCAGTTGTGAGAAATTACAAAATAAACGGTGCCAGCGATAGATTTCGAGTATGAAAGAACAAAATATACGCAATCAAAAGCGACGGCCACGCACGTTGGAAATAAATAGAACGCGTTGCGACAAGAAATCTCTCCTGCATCCGTCTTTCACTCACGCAAACGCACCCACACGTGCTACTTTCCATATATTAAATACGTTGGCAATGGAAGGGAAAGTTTAAATCATCTTTGTATTAACACAACTTGAAAACAGTCTCACACTGAATATATGTTTATAAATTATCAAACTAAACATTCAATGAAGCGGACTGCAACGGCTAAGACGAAAAACATGTGACAGTACGAGTATGCTACACAAATCGAACGATTTGATTTTGAACATGAATTCTTTTTTTTACATAGTTCAATGTTGAAATGCCGATTTCAGAGGGAAATGCGGTGTTGGGACGCCCTTACATCATAAAAACAAACTGGTTCTCGGCTCATCAAATGTGTATAGCACATTGTTGAGCGAAGAAATACCCCGTTCGTCGAATCCAATGAGATGTTTTGACGTTCCGACGACCATTTCTGCTGCAGGTCGGCGTTTTGTCTGTGAGACCCTGCTAAGACCTTTCCCGTTTTGACAATGGATTTCACGCATAACGCGAAATCTTGCAATGAATTGAAAATGGACCATTTTGATCGTTGAATATGTTACTACTTGCGCTCTGAGTTCATTCATAAGTTGTATTGCGGCTTGGGAACTATTGTTTTACATAACGCCATGTGCTATTAATAATGCCAACGGAAGTTTTCATGATTGGTTAAAAAATAATATCAGTACGAGTCATTGCCATGTGATTGGCTAGTGCGACTTTAGAGGGCGGGGTTAATGTCAAAGATTTCCAAATGTATCCCGCATATGCTTTTGCTGAGTAAGAAATAATTATTGACAGTCAGTTCAAATTTGTACCACAAGTCGATTCGTTCCAATACACTTTCGTCCCATTAGTCAGCCTTACGATTGTGTGCAGTGTCGAAATATACATACCTGTAATTACACTATATTCTTGAAATATGAATAACTTGATTTGACCATTGAAGCATTAACGTATTGCAAAGTGTGATAATATAAACATCTTCGAGGTGATGTATGTCGTATGACTGTGGGGATATGATTCGTGACTGGGTTATATCCAAAATAAGTAAGAAATGCCAGGCTATGCAAACAAATCAATCACAGGAAACGAATACGTAAGTAATAAACGCGTAGAGTAGTTTATTACATCAATACAGTATATCCACTGATACACCGGAGAATTTACCATAAATAAAAATGTAAGCAAATATTGAACACAACAACGCGGTAAAGACTGGCGCTAAAATACTTGTGCGTCCTATTTATAGGCTCGGTGGGATTCTGAACCCTCGGCGGGAATGTCCCTCATTGGTCGAAAGTTAACATTATAGAAATGCGTATAAATATATAAAAGTACTCAAACACAGTATTTAAGAAAACTTTGATAATACAATAATCAGTGTTTTCAATAATAACGATCAAATTGCTTAACTCGACAATGACCGACGATTTCATAACTACGATAAGATTCAGTTTGTTGTTCGGATCTTCCTGGGCCTATCGAAAAACCATGTGAGACGAATCAACCTGGGGGACGAATCGACGTGGGCGAATGAGTTTAAGTTGGTCGGGTGGTGGCTTCGGCCACTGATGAACAACTTGAATGGGCTGAACCTATTGAGTTTTGCACAGCTTTTGGAATAAATAAACTGATATGCCCACGGTTCATCCCCAATCATAATGAATGAATGAATACTGTATATGCGAATTGTTAAAATATTTCTACTAGATACAATAAATGGCTTCAAAACTGAAGCGAGGCAGGAATACACTCAAGGACAGACACTAAATATTTTCTGCTTACTTAACGAAAACAAATTCTGCCAGACTCAGAACGGCCGCTATTAGCACATTTGTCTGTCGATCCAACTGCTTTGAACTCGTGATAGAATTAGCTATTTTGTCCTTTCTACAAATATTATGTATCAGCATTACTACGTTAGGCATATTTGCATAACGGTGATAAGTATACTAGTATCTCATTGCATTATCATTGCTCATGAAACATCGTAACAGAGGAGGACGCCCTCTACACACAGTGTGTAATAAAATAGAAACTATTCGTTACTATTTCTCGTGTCAAAGAATTCAACAACAATTAAAATAATATTTAGGCAACATTCATACTAAACCACGAAGTCGGCTCAAAGCCCGCCTTTTACGATATACGTTTATACATAAGTAGTAATATTTTTTTTTTTTTTTTTTTTTGCATCACAGTGGTGATAATCTTGAGTCGCTGTTTTTCCCATATACTACCCACTTTATCAGAGACAAAAACCTACCAAGTATGTATGCCTATGTGATGAACGTAAAATGATTCGTTGGTTAATGTGGTTGTGGATATAACTAGCACGCCCGCAAAAAGAGTCAGATCACCCACGCGGGCTGTTGGTCGTAGTCACAATGTTGATGATGCCCTCGCCTTCGACTCTGGGGTTATCTATATTATTTTTTTCTTTGTGAAACTATATTTTGCTAGGAAGATAGTTCAATTAAATTATTATTTCATAATACATGTTACACCCTCCAATGGATTGGCATCGAACAAAGACACTACACACGGTAAGCTCCCATCTTCGCCAGCCAAGGACCATTTATTCGACCGAAGTCTCAACATTAACCCTTGAAAGATTTCACCACGATTTACTGTATGTCACACGCTCTCAAACGAGTATAAGATTCACTTCGGCTCATTTGCATCTCCAAATCAGAACTCATGAAAGAAACTACACATTACTTGGCAAGTCGATATGTTATCAATTTCGACATTTTTGTCAGTTTACTAAAACACAGTTCGCAC